TAAATTTTTTTACAAACAATAGTATTGTTTGCAAAGAAATTCAAAGAAATTTACATAGTAAAAGAGAGGTTTTTTAATGATATCTCAGTACTCACCAGGCTGATTTTGATGCTTTAACCACCATTAGATGCATCTTGACAAGCTTTACAAAAGTCTCTTAAGCAAGAAAGGTGATTAACTTAGTATGAAAAAAGTTTACCTTGCATGAATGCCACATTCGCACCATAGTAAATTTATATAGTAATTGGAGTTACATTTTACTAAGATCATGCTTCAGTTAACTGGAGAATCATCAATTAAAATAACTTTAGTTTTAAAATTCTAATGAATTTAAAATTTCACTTCAACATCTATTAAAATTTCGTTTTATAAGTAATAATTAAAGAAATATAAGTGGTATTGCTTAGTTAATAATATACCTTAAGAGTATTAGTATCTCTAGCAAAAATAGTAATAATTAAAATTAAGATTTCTACGTATTCAAATCTAAGTTCACTTACTTTATTAAGAATCACAGTTTTAATTAATGTTTTTCTATAAAAATTAATAATAAAAAAATCCAATTATATTAAATTTTTATAGCATGTGGATACTGGAAGATGACCTATTAGCTAGTTGAATTATAAATAATGTTTATAACAATATTATAGAAAAATTTTCAATATAAAAATTTTTTCCAAATTTTCAAGATATTAGAATTAACTTGCTTATTTTCACTATTTGTCTTTCTTTTTAGATAAATTTATATCTCTATATTATTTGTAAAAAAAGTAATTTTATTAGTTATATTTAAGGCCATACAAATTTAATTACTTGGTTTTCATAAATAAAACTTTTAAATAGACCCGGCCGACCGGCTTTTTTTAAAAAATTTCATATATAAAATTTTATAAAATATATATATATGTACCGGTATATTTTTTAAAACCCACCCGGTTATTACTACTGTTTTCATTATTTTTGGAACACTTGAAAAATTATTGATGACCGGATCGATAAGTTTTTTGATGTCGGTTAACGTCAGTAACTTATTGATTCCACTCGGTTTCGGCCGTCAAATAATGAAAACAGCTGTAAAGCATATAAAATTTTTTTTTTAGAAGTTTCCCGGCCGGGTTATGAACATCAATTGATTTTGCATGGACTTATTAAAACATAATAAATTTTTTTTTAGAAGTTTTCAATTAAAATTTTATGAAAAAAATATTAGTAAATTTTTATGTTTATATATAATAAATTATATAAAAAATTTACACACTTAGTGTAAGTGCAAACCATGATTCTTTTCACTACGTACATACGTGCGTATTTACTCAGATTAGGCTTATATGTTTTCATATACAAAACAAACTTTATGTTTGATATATATATATATTTATGCTAGTTATGCTTATAATGTTTGATATATATATATTTTTTTTCATGCAAATTTATGCTTATATACAGTAAACGTTTTGTAATTAATAAAGTGTTCTAAATAATTTCTCAACACTTGTCTTTGTTTATAAATGTTTTACTAACCGACGCTAAAGGCATACTCTACAACAAATCAAGCAGTAGTGTAACAATAATCTTAAAAGGGAACATTAATCCACTAGACATATTTGGTGATTAAGGGTGGGATATTTTAAACAAAAATGGGATTAACAAATAATTGATTCTCAAGTTTTAGAATCATATAACCACTTTTCAATTTCAATTGAAATTGCGTTACGATACACCATATAGCATTATAGCCAATACATATTTTCAAACTATTAATTCTATAAATTCAACCGATTATGCTTAACTTCTGCTTTCCCTCCCACAGTCTTATCGACTAATTGAATGCCCCCAAACTTTACCTAAGAACTGACCGTTGTGCAAACTATATTCCAATACATATTTCACCTTCTTTAGCTCACATTCTTTACCCCTTTTCATTTTCACTACCTCCCCAACTATAGAAGTTAAATTATATATACCTTCTCATTCAAAATCTCCCCTTTTTATTGTGCATATAATTTAAAAAATGTCCAAGGCCCAATTTTTAAGGGAATATAAACTCGTAGTAGTTGGTGGTGGTGGTAAGATACCTTGTCAACGTTTATTACCAGTTCTTTTAATGGTTTTGTAAATCTGGCCACTTCTGATTGTCCTTATTGTAAAATGACATTGGCCATGAGATGAAGCATTTAACTTTAATTTTATATCTATATCTTCGTTACTTCAAATAAGAGCTACTTTAACTTCGTTTTCTTTGTGTTCATTCTGTGTAATAAAAATAGGTGTTGGCAAATCTGCACTCACAATCCAATTTATTCAAGCACACTTTGTTGACGAATATGATCCTACTATTGAAGGTACGTAAAATAGCAAAGTAAAATGATTTTACAGAACTCTAGTTATATTCGTATACGAAAAATTGCTGTACCAGGTAGTTTAGCGCTAACTCAAATATTATCCAATTTAGACTCCTATCGCAAACAATGCGTCATTGATGATGAAGTCGCTTTATTAGATGTGTTGGATACTGCTGGACAAGAAGAATACAGGTATGTGCAATAAAACATGTTGATAATATTGAACTTCGTATTTTAACACATTGACGCTTTCAATAGTGCCATGCGAGAACAATACATGCGTACTGGAGAAGGGTTTCTTCTTGTTTATTCCATTACATCTCGTAATTCTTTTGATGAAATTTCCACGTTTCATCAACAAATTCTTCGTGTGAAAGACAAGGATTACTTTCCAACCATTGTTGTGGCCAATAAATGTGATTTAGAGATGGAAAGACAGGTTTCTGGACAGGGTTTGTGTTGCAAAGTTTTTTGTCTTTTTTTAATATCTTTATTTTTTTATTTTTTTTCACGTACTTTTTTTTGTAGAGGGTCGAGAGCTTGCCAAACAATTCAACTGTAAATTTATTGAGACTTCTGCCAAGCAACGCATTAACGTAGATGAAGCATTCTATAATCTTGTTCGTGAGATTAGAAAATACAACAAAGAACAGCAATATGGGGGCCGAAACCCTGCAAATCCGGGAAGCGGAAATGAATACACCCATGAAGGAATTGAGGATGGTGGTTGTTGTTGTGTAGTCATGTAAAAATATATATATTTATATATTACATTTATATTATATCAATTTTTTTTTAAAAAAAAAAAGAAGAAAAAAACTGATCATAAAAATCAACCTTTTCCATTCACGTTTATAATTTCTTTGAAACTCGATATTGTATGTCTCTTAACATGTCATTCATTACGTAAACACGGGAGGAATGGATTAGGTGATGTAAGTAGATGTCTAATAGATATGTTTTTTATTTTACAATTAGACCCGTTCGTTTTATCCTTCTCTTTATTGAAACGGCGGCTTATTTTTTTCGTTTTGGGCTTTTCTGTTCCAAAATGATACTTTTGTATCTTTAGCGTTTTATATTATTATTATTATTATTTTATCATATACCATATTTCTTGCACCTGCCCTCTCGTGTCCATATCAGGTCAAAAGTTCAATTTCTCTTTTGTCGTTCATCATAAATGCTTACTGTATTAAGAATGCAAGAGCTGGGCTCAATTACTTAGTATATTTCTTTATTAATATATTTGTTCTTGTCTATATTTCATTACATTCGTATATAATATTGTTTTACTAAAAGTACTTATAGCGTTTTATATTTTCTTAAAGGCTAATTAATTGGTGTGCAATTTCCAAAGTAAAAAATGTTCTATTCCCAAATTATAATAAATTATATATAATGTAAAAATACTATAGGTGCATATATATATATATATATTTAACCCGAGTTTATTAGCTTAATTTACACTTGATCAAGAAGTTTGATTGGTCAATATTTCAAGGGTACAATTTTTGGAATTTACTTATTTCTGCAAGTGGTACAAAGACGCAATGTTGCACGCGGAACAGTTGAGACAAATTTGAGGTTTTAAAAAAAAAATTTTATTAAGACAATTTTTGAGCAAAGTTATTCAAATTTAAATTTTACATATATTTTATTATTGCTTTAATATAATTTTTCAAATTAAAAATTGAGAAATTGATGGGACAAAGTTGGGACGTCCCGGGACAAGGCCAAAAATCTCGGGACAGTCAAAATGCGGTAAAACATTTATTTATAGCATTTGTCGATGGTAATTTTAAATTAGAATGAAAGTTTTTAAAAAATTAAATAGTTGATGTAACGTTTAGTGATAAAGTTGAATTAGTCGACTAAGTTGGTCGATTTTTTAAAAATTTGATTTAGAGCGCTCTCAAGCACCTCTTGACAAAGAATCTGATTGGCAATTTTATCCGAGAGACCAATCAGATTCTTTGTTGAGTCCATTGAGGAAGGTGCCTGAGTCGATTCTTGGCCATGTATATGGAAAATATTAAGGAACAACTTTACAAGAATTTAAATTCGGAATATACAGTATATATTTTTTACACTATATCCATTGAATCACTTTCATGTATTAATAATTATTGTTACTATAATTATACAATTTTATATTCAGTATTAAAATTTTTTAAAATAAAAATATTAGAGAATAGTGTTTGTACCCGCTGAAAAAAAGTGCTACTCGGTTACTCGACGGTGAACCCACGAGTTATCCCCAGGTATAAAATGTTACCCGACTAGTGTTGCAGGGGAATTACTGTATTTCAAATAATTACCTCTCTCAAAAGCCTCTTTCATTTTCGTGCTACGAGGTATCAATATTCGAACCAAGAATTATTCTTTTTTAAAAGGAATGTTGGTGTCACAAATTTGAAAGCATTTTGTATAGTAGGCTGATCTATGATCGATCGCTATATTAATCCCCTATCTTACTCAAGATCTTGATCTTGATCCCAGCGCTTCGTTTTCATTCCGCTATTTTCAACCCGATCTTTACCAAATACGCTAACTGTACAACATTTATCACAGATCCGAACCATTTTTTTTTTTTGTTTAATAAATAATAATCTAACACTTAATTTATTACGATACATGACGATAAATGATGTGATCGGGGATCATTATATTTTATGTATTGATTAATTAATGATTTAAAAAAATTTATAATATTTAAATAATAAGCAAGAAATAAAAATTTATTCTCTTCTATGTAACTATTTGTTAATTTGTTATTACGTTATACCTTACGAACTTTTATTCTCTAAATTTGAAATTGTTTTTACAACAAATTGAAGTATGCTGTATCCGGTACTAGTTATAAAAGTAATAGCTTGATAAAATAAATATCATACGTAAGTATATACGTACCTATTTTTTTTAGTATTTCAAAAAATGTCTAGGCTTTTTTTATTTTTAAACTTAATCTACAGATGCCTTTCTTTTTTTACCATAACTATCTGTTGCCGATTTTGGAATACAAGTCTTTATATCAAAATTAAACTATGTTAGCTAAATTACACTTTCCTATAATAAGTTGGGCTAAAATTTTAGATCAAAAAATTATCTGAGCTTCACAAGTATGTTATCGCGACTATCATATCGCATAAGTGTTTAAAAATCCTGAAATCATATCGTATGATCTGATTTACAATAGAATGATTGTAGTAAAATAAAGTAGCAACAGAGTAAATAATATTTCTTTTTGCTAATAATAGATGGTAGAGATGTTATTGGCTTTACAAAAAAAAGCCAGCTTTAGCCATAGATTTAAGCCAAGCCTAACAAAGCTAAGCTGAATTAACAACCTGAACTATAATTCAAGCCATGGCTTTAAATCATAGCTTAAGCCAGAATAAGAATAGCTCTAGTTATGGCTTGAGTTATTGGTTTCAGAAAAGCTTTGAATATAATGATAATATATAATTACAATATATTGTATAATATTGTTATATAATTAAAAATAAATCAAACTATACATATATTCGAATTCGAATAGTTAATAAAACTCTTTCTGATAATTACTAAAACCAAAATTTTTTACTAATTGAGAAACTAAAATTTTGTTGAAGAGTTATAATCTATGTGGTGGTTTGTCTAGAATTATTTATTTGTGCTAGTGATACAAATCACATGCTAATAGTACATATTTATTTGTTGATATTTTTGCTAATAGAATGTGAGATAAGAATGATATTAGAGTTAGGGTTAAAGTTGAAATAATGCAAGATATATAGTAAAATTTTGCAAAGAATTTTTTTATTAAATCATAAAAAGTAATTTTTTAAATCAAATTTGAGTTATTGACAATTTTTGAAAAAATCTTCAATTTCATACTGTATTATATATATATTATACTTAATATTGAGATCTACATAGAAAATTTTTTTCAGGTTTGTATTATTTATGCAAATAAATATACATGTTTGTCTAGAAGTTAATATTTTTGGCTTTTCAGGACTTCTCTATAAAGATATTTGGTATACAGGCCAAGAGTATTATTATACAAAATAATTAGCAAGTAATGCTCTCATACAGTATAAAAATATCCTAGTGAAGTGTAGACAAAGCCCAACTTTATCAATAAAGCTACTAAATTGTTACTTTAAAAAAAAATATAGAAGAAACACTAAAATTTATATTTTTCTTAAGTTGTACTCTTTTTACTTAGTTTAGTGGCTCTTCTTTTACTTTTTTTCGCTTTCTTGTTGGTTTTTTAAAATTTTTTTAAAAAAGTAGAGATTTGGCTTACTTTCTTAAAAGATTAATATTGTTTACATTCCAAATTCAGATAGATTTAGTAGTATGCAACTACATGTTATGTTTGTTTATAATTATAATGCTACTCTGAGGAAGTCAGATTTAAAAGATATCTAAAGGTAGTTATTATATTAAAAATAAAACAAATATTAAGATGAAGCTTTACAGTAGATATACAATTGTTGTATTTATTATATAGTATAATTTTTTTTAGCTTTGTACAGGTTATAATAGTGTATACTTGTTAGGAGGCTTCCAGAAATCAGGTGATTAGGGTTTACTAAGAGGCTACCCCCACCCACCCCCACCTGATACTCCAATTAGCCA